CCCTAAGGTCAAAATGCACCATCTCAATGTGTCATCACACCATGTGCTGCTCTGACTCATTCTTACTCAGGTCGTTGCGCTACTTCTGCTCCTACGTCTTACGGACTTTACTCACTTCTCTCAATCTTCAAAGGTGTCCAACATTTTGGGTTACATGGGGGCTGCAGTGTAGGTACATTTCTTGTAGCTTGTGGGCCACTAGGTTGCCAACAGTGACATACTCGCCATCACTAATTCTCCATTCCTTGTGTTATTTTCAACCGGTGGGCCTTGGGATGTCTCCTGGCCTCCTAGCTATCAAATAAGGTCAAATACCCTGCTGCATATATTGTGCAGTCCGGTGAGGGACAGGGTTACTGGCGAAATAAAGAATGGGATTCCAAATCCTAACTTAGAACTTTTCTTAAACCCATGCAGCAATGATAAAAGACTTTTTTAAAAAATAATGTAATTTAACACACACATAAAAGATTATATTCCTAATTTACTGGAATCAGGGCAAAAGGGAAAGAAAAACAAATTAGTAAATTGCCTGACTGGAAATGCAAACTATTCAAAAGAGAGGGAGGGTGAACCACATCACTGATCATTCTCTGATTGTTCCTACTTCTCTGAAGTTTTCACCATGTGTTACTCATCAAAGCAAAGCTGTATTACACACACTCTGCCAGATCATAGACCTAAATATTGAAGCTTCTACTTGATTAATTCTGTTATCCATTTGATCTGGCTTAAAATAAACACTAATAAAGTGCAGGTTTATGGTTCCATCATATGGGGCAAAATGTATGTCTTCTTTATGGAAAATGAGAAGGCATGAAATTATATTACTTTAGCATTTTACTCTCAATAGAACGTTGGGGGATTTTCTAAGGCCTTTGACCCTGGTACGCAGATACATTTCAATCTGACCATTAGCTAGTGGCCTGGATGCCAGTGCCTCCTTTCAACATATAAGAATAATACCTACATCGAACCCATAGTTTGGTATTACACGTGGCATACATGCCACAATAATTATAAATTTATAGCTAACAAACAAGACAAATTATTTGTCTTATCTCACTATCTGAGGATCAAAAAGCCACACATGGATAGAGAACACAAAAGTATTGTACACGAGACCTCCAATTGCAAAGTCAATATCATTTATGTATATGGTTAACAACAGTGGTCCCAGAACGGATTCCTGTGGAACACCACTTCCCATTTTCAGTCAGTCTAAGAAACTTCCTTTAAGTCCAACCCTGCATTTTTGGGTTCTTGGTCCTCCTTTTGATTCATACGGTCCTTTCAAGTGCAAAATTGTACGTTTTTATTTTACTTTATTTTTGCTTGTGAACTGAACAGGGAAAATGACTGTTTTACAGCAAAGAGCTCAGGAAGAAATTGTCGCTCTTCTTAAAAATAGCAAGCTACTGAAACTCAATGCAAGTTTGAGTTTACGCTGTTGTTTTGTAAGAGGTGGGGGAATGTGTGAAAGGGGAATGTCTGACTCATCGGGTCTGTATGCAATGTGAGATTCAGCCAGCAACACATTGCTGATTGGTCACAAACTCAACAAACCAAAAGGCACCAGCTTGACAAAAACTATCTGATTAGCTCCTGAGCAGCTGAAAAGATTGTGGCTGTGAACAATACTGAATGAAGCCTTTGGACAGCAGAAAAGAAAGATGGTGCATCTTTCTCCAGTAAAATACCTAGTGGCCTCCTGCCACTCACGAGTGAGAACTTCATTTCAATATCTGGGAGTAAACTGGAAAATGTGACTTGTTACTCTCGGCATGAAGAAAGGCCTCACTCACTCACAATTCTCCAAAATTTCTCACCCTTACCAAACTGGGCAGGGTCTAGGAAGATTCTGCCAAAGTATTTATTTACTGACCCAATAAGGCCCTACTCCCATCTTAATTCTCCTTTAATACTTGGGCACATTGGAATGGTTTGCTATTTATTTTAATATCCCTTGTTACTTATTTTCATATAGCTTGATATTTTGGTTAGATATTTCCTCTGTACTTCCCAAATTCTTTTTAGCCATTTTCCTAAGCTAATCATATTTACTGTGGTCATCGTCCTTTACTGTTAATACAGTCTGCACACATATTTTCTTTGGATTCAATTTTATCTACATCACTTGATTAATCCATGCCATCCTGTTCTTAGTTAATCTATTCTCATTACAGAATGGTACATTACTTTACTAAGTGTGCCTTAAATATTACACACCATACTCTAACTTTTCAGGTTTTGTTTCCTCGCTAATGTCATCTTCCACAGCTCTAACTTGTCCTCAATCTATCAATTTGTTCTTTGAACTCTATATTATTTTGAATCATTATCTTAAGTCTAATTAATATGCAATCACTATTTCCAGATAGTCTCCCGTGCCTTAGATTGGAAAGGAATCTTGTACACATTATAGAAACCCCATACATATCTCCCTCTTCACTTCCCCCTTCTGCCGCTATATCTGAGAACAGTTGAAATCCTCATGATTAAATTGTGTAGTCATTTACTAGACTTCCCTTCATGGATTTCCCTATCCACATCCTAACCGCAATCTGGCAATCTGTGTTTTAATCCTAATAGTGTGCTCGATCTTCCTGCCATTTATCCCAATCCATATAGATTCCACTTCCATCTTTTTGGTTTATGTCTTTTCTTGATACTGCTACTATACAACATCTGATTAACATCACTAACCTCCTCTCCTCCTTCCTTCATCATCATTTCTAAATACATTATAACCTGCCAAACATGTCCTGTCTACAATCTTGATGAACACATTCTCTTACTGCATTTTGGGTGATGTCTCTAAGATCTTCCCTGATGCCTGGAATGGCTCAGTGCCACAAAAGTTGATTATAATCATCAGTCCAGGGCCACTGAGACAGTAATGTGGGCTGTCGGGTAAAGTTCCAAATTCCCATGCACCAGGTGATACAGCACCTCTATGGCTCTTTGGGGAAATACATTTTTTTCAAAAACACAAGTCTGCGTTACCTACAACAAGGTGCAGGGCTGGATGAACACAGCAGGCCAAGCAGCATCATAGGAGCAGAGAGGCTGACGTTTCGGGCCTAGACCCTTCATCAGAAAAGGGGGAGGGGAAGGGGGTTCCGAAATAAATAGGGAGAGAGTGGGAGGCGGATAGAAGAGGGATAGAGGAGAGGTGGAGAGGAAACAAACAGGTCGAAGAGGCGGGGATGGAGCCAGTAAAGGTGAGTGTAGGTAGGGAGTTAGGAAGGGGATAGGTCAGTCCAGGGAGGACGGACAGGTCAAGGGGGCGGGATGAGGTTGGTCGGTAGGAGATGGAGGTGCGGCTTGAGGTGGGAGGAGGGGATAGGTGGGAGGAAGAACAGGTTAGGGAGGCAGGGACGAGCTGGACTGGTTTTGGGATGCGGTAGGGGGAGGGGAGATTTTGAAACTTGTGAAATCCACATTGATACCATTGGGCTGCAGGGTTCCCAAGCGGAATATGAGTTGCTGTTCCTGCAACCTTCGGGTGGCATCGTTGTGGCACTGCAGGAGGCCCAGGATGGACATGTCGTCTGAGGAATGGGAGGGGGAGTTGAAATGGTTCGCGACTGGGAGGTGCAGTTGTTTATTGCGAACCGAGCGTAGGTGTTCTGCAAAGCGGTCCCCGAGTCTCCGCTTGGTTTCCCCG